GATAAGAAGGAGGCCCATCTAATGCATTTTGCTTTCACCAGCTGACTCCCTCTTTTTTTAACCTACTTACTATGAAAACATTTCTTACTGAATGGTTCATGTGGGCTGGCTGAACAACACACATTACTTATTTCCTAAAGAGTCCTTCGACTAATTCTTTGGTCCCACTTCCGTTGCGGATTATCAAACTACAAAAGAACCATGTATCCTAACAAATTTAAACACCCTTTGTGAAGTGAGTGCAAGTTAAGAAATTGGTGAATTTTGGGGGTTGGGGTCTGGGGAGAGTATCTAAAAGATGATTTGGGCTTTCTTGCAGGGAACAGAAATCATACCTGAAAGGGTTTTGCTAGGAAAGGGGATACTTAGCAGAGGGAATAAACGGGTATCATGTGAAACAAAGTCATTTAAAGCTTTCTCCTGGACATCCATTTTCAGTGGTGGGCAGAACAGCCTGAACCCATAACCCGAACGTAGGTGAAACAAGGCAGTTATAACCACCACCTGGGCACCTAGAGGCTGGGAACTGCGGCCCGTCACGAGGGCTGGTCAGCTAGAGGGACACTGCATTCTGGTGAATTCAAACTGTGGGCGCCTGTTAGCTAAGCACCTGATCAAGAAGTATACACACGGTGCAGGCACTCAGTTTTGTTCAGTTATTACTGATTTAAAAAGAATCAAAGTTTGATATGTGATTTGGGCGGGGGGGGAAGGATCTGCAGCAGCAGTAGCCTTCTGGATCCTAAGCCAGGTGCCAGCCATGGGCCACGGAGTTCACAGGCAGAGCCGTGTTCCTCACAGCACCGGACCCAGGTCCAGACAAATACAACCCGTCTGCGTCCCCAGTCCCTTCCCAAACAAGGTGCGATCTGTAGGATACGTGGTGTGCCAAACCAAAGCAGAAGAGGTGACAGAACAAAAAAGGGAATGACATTTAGGGTATAAAGGTCTCGTAAGAAATGTAATATGTAAGTTATATCTTGCTTTATGATGTAAAATACACATTGTTTGCGCTAGAATAGAAATGATTCCTTTTCAATAAAAAGAAGGATGCTACCATGTCGTCTCTTGTCACAAACACTGGAGTCTGCTGACCCCTGTCTCTCTGAACTTCAAGAACAGATCTCATGGGATATGAGATCGCATCTGGGGAGAGTGAAGGAGGAGGGACTTACGAACAAGGGAACTTTCACAGGAGTGTGATATTATTTCCTAAAAAGGGGAACAATCTATTGTTCCCCAAAAACAAAGACAATGGCAGGAGGAAGCGGGAGGCATTTACGGGACAATGGTGAGTGCAGAGTGGAATGCTTACAAGTCTAGCCAGTTTTACCCAAATCTTCAGCAGCCACAGTGCCAGGTGTCTATGAAAACAGGACTTCGTGTAAAGCACAGCCTTTTTTTAGGATGAAGAACCTACTAAGTAAAATTAAACACCTGTTGTGCCCGGCGTTGGTGTGGAGTAGTGGGCGCGAAATTGGGAGATTTGGGTTGTTTTCATACAGATTAAAATCTGATTTGAAAGACAAATCTGTTGTGGCCAAATTTCTGCAGCAGAGGAAGGCGAGCATCAGTGTCACAGAAGCAGAGCAGGTGGGCGTCCCGAGGGCGGGAGGGGCTTCGCGGAGACCCTGGCTGGACGGGGGTAGAAGCGGGGCCCGTGGCTCGCCTGTCAGGGGGCGGACGGGAAGGGGCGCAGGGGGCACCAGGGAGGGTCTGCGGCCAAGTCCACGTGAGGCGGCCGAGAGCCGGCCTGGGGCACGGGGCATCGCCTCGCGGGCGCGACCAAAGGGCCTGAGCTTTTCCTCGGACCATCAGCCAGAACAAAAGTGCTGCAGGAAAGGCCACCTCAGCAGCGCTTTCGTAGTGACAGAGTAAAGATAGACTAGACCCGACAGGGGCAGGACAGGCGGGGAGGGCCAGGGAGCGCCGCGGGGGTTGGATCGGGGCTTCAGGGCAGCAGGAGGGTCCGAACCAGAGGCCCGCGGAGGCCCGGGAGCCCCCAGGGCGGGATGACCTGCTGCAGGGGGCCCCGGGGGGCCTGGGCGCGAGGGGGCCTGGGGAAACCCACTGCAGAGCCCTGGGGGGCCTGGGCACAAGGGAGGCCCCAGGGGGGATGCCGACGGCGTGGGGAGGCCTCCCCGGGCTGCGGTGGGGGGTCAGGGCGGGGCTCCGAGGGCCCAGGACCCCAGCCAAAAACCGCTGCCCTGGCGCGCTGCACACCCAGCAGAGCCCAAGTGCTGGGCCCTCCTCCGCCAGGCAGACCGGGCACCAGAAACGCCGGGCACGGTCCCTGCGACGTCCAGAGCCGCAGTTCCAAAGGGCCACCTGTGACCCCGGGGCGGGAGCAGACGCGGCCTTGCTGGCAGGAGCCGTCACGGGTCCCACGCAGACCAAGTTCCCTCCCTTAGCTCGGTTACTGCAGCTCAGCCTCAGGGGCTGATGCACCTCCCACCTTCTCCTCTCCCCTCCCTTCCCACCTGCACTCCTAGGCCCTTGCTACACCCACAGACCTGCAGCTCTCCACGGCCACGCGTGCCGATGCTTCCACACTGGGCACTGGATCTTGTCACAGTTGTCATGTGGCTTCTCGTGGCCTTTGGGATTACACCAAATGCAGTAACAGGGTGTTACAGCACAGGAACGTGCTAAAAATGCTTTCAACAAATTAATGCCTGACAGTCTAGAGTTCCGGAGAATATCCCAAGTGTTAGACTGGCTATAGAAGGACAGCACTCCTACAAGAAGATAGCCGGGTCTCTACAGAGTGAGGGCATCTGAGAACTGCTTCTTAAGGGGCAGATGCTTATTTGCTCAGTGTCACTCGGATAAGCAGAGGTGAGATAAGGCTAGCAAGCTGGGCAGCGAGAGAGACTCACACATGTGTCCAGGACGGCACGGGCAGAAATGTTCATTGCAGAAAGGTTTGCAAAAACAAAATATTGGAAACAATCGAAATGCCCATCAATGGGAGAATAAACAAACCGCAATTTGGTCGCACAGTGGAACATTATTCAGAAATGAAAAACTAATGTGTGAACCACAGCTGCGCATATCTGCTCGGATACCTCTCAGAAACATAACTTCGAGGGGAGAAAAATAAGTTGCCGAAGGGTACATGACACTATTTACCTAAGGTTTAGAAGTGTATGTAGAAGTCATGTGTTATTTGTAAACACACATAGGTGGTAAAGATATAAAAAGGATGCATAGGGATAAACAACAATTTCAGAAAAGGCAATTTCTGAGTAAGGTGGTATGGGATAGGGTGGGGGAGCACCCTGACGGCTTTAAACACTTTTTTTTAAAAAAGTATGAGAAACATTAAAGTTAAACAAAAGTTAGTGGTAAGCTCCCTATGTGCCTATTGATCTCTGTGCACACTGTATTTCAAAATTTGTTAAATGTGGGGAGAAAGAGTGGGCACGTGCATCTGTATCCTTGGCATGGGAGACTGGGCTTGGGGTGAGTGTGTTTGTGTAACCTAGATTTTGTTCTGGGAGAGGAAGGATATAATATTTTAAGAAGAGTAAAAAAAACTCTTGCAAATAACTCAGCCCATCAAGCATTAGGCATAGAAGAAGCAATGTCCCTGAAAGATTTCTACCCAAATCTCTCCCTCAGTTCACTTCTGTACAAAATTCCCTCCTTCACGGTAAGGCCTCCTGGAGTGTCCCGGTATCTGGGCTGCATGAGGTAATTCCTACCCTGGAGTTACCACTACTCACTCTCAGGAGGAATAGGACATGGCTGATGCCTGGCCCCCGACACAGGAGAGGCAGGTCGGAGGTCCCAC